ATGACAGCATTTCATTCTCTCTATGGCTGACAATGCTCAGTTTTGTGTAAATACCAACATTTCTTGTCCTTACATCAACAGTGGACAGCTGGTTAATTACATACCTTGGTTATTACGAAAATCAAACAATGAGCTAATGCTGTGCTATTACAGATATATTTTAACAAACTATTTCAATTCCTTAGTAAACTTATCTAGTTTTGAGATAACTGGACCATGTCATAGTTCTTTTCTTATGGTGAAAGATAGCTATACTTTTTCCATAAAATAGTACTTGCTTCTAGTCCCACCAACAGTGTGTGAGACGTCCCCTTCCCTTTCTGTCCTTTTGATAATAGCCATTCAAAAACCGCTATCTCCTGTGGTTTTGAGCTGCATTTCTCTGATGCTTAATGACATTTGACATTTTCCTTGTTCTCTAGTTGGCTACTTTTGCAGTCTCTTTTGGGAAATGCCTATTAAAGTCAGTCATCCATGTTTTCATCCGCCTTTTGTCCTGACTTTTTATATGGTTACTCCGTGCAGCAACTATTCAGGGACTGCAGTTCAATGGCGGGTTACAATTGCTCAAGTCGTCTTTCAATGTTTAATATAGAAATGTTTTACATTTTAGATATCTTTCTACGACATAAAAAGTTAAAATCACTTCATAATAAAATAATGTATAATAATTGACAGCTAATCTGTGCCTGTCACATCTAGTATAGAATCTACAAGTAAGATGACAGTCGTAGTATTCCTTTAGAATTTAATTATCCCAGGTATGTGTAATTGCAGAAAGCTAAAATACCTTTATAAACCATCATGACTTGTATATTCTGCTAGTATTTATGCTGAGTTTTACCGCTCCTGTGATCCTATAGTCTTTGAAGCTTCCTATAATCTAGTACAGATACATCTACTTTCAACAGTATCTGTTGTATGTGTCTCCCAGTACCTGGCAAAATGTCTGGAACCAAGTCAATGCTCACATGGTCTGACAACTCATATTAAACCTGTTAATTGTCCATCATAGAATTAATTTTCTATTTCTTGAAATCATATGAATTGGAAGAGGAATGTTCTGAAAAGTGTAATTTCCAAAGTCATAATACATAAGTATACTTCTTTCATATTAAATGGGACTCAGAATGCCAGCTATTTCTCATGCTTATCCATGTTTTTCAATCCTGTGACAAAGCTAATTTTGACAATTAAAATTAATATTCTAGTGAAATATAAGGATTTTCATTTAAATTTCAAATTTTTGTGCAATGTGATTATCAGTTATTTGAATAAGCCAGTTTCCTATGACTCTGTAATGTATCAACAACCTCATCTACAAACTAACACTGTAATGGAGTGCCTGTGTGAAATTAGAGTGTTGGGCCAAATCAGTGGTTCTTATTCTTCTGTAGGTTAAATCAAGCAGATTGGGCAGTTTATCTATGATACTGGGATCTTGTGAAAGTGAAATAGAAAGTTGTTAATATTTTAGGCATTTTAGGACAGTAGACATAAATGTGATCATGCCAGACAAAAATGCGAGATGTCCTGTGCTAATTGTTGGCTTCTTTGAGCATGTGAAAGGTCCTAGATGCTCTTTAGAGGAACACACACACACACACACACACACACACACACACACACACACCTGCATCCCTTAAGCTAGAATAGGCCCTGAAGTCTCCATGATCTACTTTGAACTCCCTATGGGACATGAGAGGCCTACTTTACTAGGGTAAGAAGTCCTGAGTAAAACTACTCCCTATTTCTTCTTCATGAGAACTCTGTGATTCTATCTATAGTTACATAATCAGGTGACACCACAAATCATGGGCTCGGGTAATTCTGGACTGTTCTCTCTCTGGGACACAGATCAGCACTTACGTCCCTTTACAATTAAGGATCTTTAGAGTTTACTGTTTATGTGTGTAGCCTACCCCCATAGCCACCCATGGAAAGCTGAGACACTCCACCAGCCCCTAAGGTACCTTCACTTCATCAGGTAGCCACTAAAAGGCAGCTGATCCTGAGGACGCCAACCACCTAAGGATTGGAGTGGCAGGACTGGTGGCCAGGAGTCCCATCTGGGTGCTCAGATCCACAATTCCTGTTTCATCCTGGGATCTCCAGATCAAGGAGCTCACACAGTCATTTGAGGGTTTTCTGTACAGGCAGAAGGTGGTGAGTCACAATAGTATTGGCTGCAATGCAAATGCAAATGTCTGTTTTCCTATTTTGTATAAAATCCTTGGACTGATTTTTCCATTTCAGTACAACAAGTAAGAAATACTGATGGTTTGGAAAGTATTTAGAAAATGGAAATCAGGATGACAAAGGAAAGAGTAACTTTAAATTCATAAAGAAGAAAAATAGAAAGGAAGAATGTACATGAATAAAATCTGGTAAACAATGTGGAATGGAGATGGTTATCATTTTAAAAGGATTAAGCCCACTTTTTCATTACCAAGGCAACAGTCTCATCATGGAATTGCAAAACAACAAGGAATAAACAGCAATCATAAGAACATCCAAACTCTATAAACAAGGACGATTTGTGTGCAGATGTGAATTTAATAAACAAGATGAAAAGCCCTTTTGTTCAAACTAACTTTTTCTGTAGGAAAAAGGGCCTTTTTATGTTTTGTTTTAAAGAAAATCTAATATCCTCTTCTACCTTCAGAAAATATCAGAGAGCATACACATGCCATTCAAGTTATGAATTATATCCTGCTGGACTCATAACTAGGTAACTATGAAGAACAGGGCCTTTCCCAAAGCTGTGTTCTATAGGTAGTAATATTTAATATTTATTAAAAACCTCAATGTGAGGGGTCTTTTATTAAGGCACTCCTTGAAGAAGTTGAATTTTAGCTAAGCCAAGTAGAGAAACTGAACTGCCTTTGTTTCATTTTCCCTATTTTTATGTAGGAAGGAGGCATTTTATCAAAGGAATTGGTACTTAACATTCCAGATTAACATTGCATGAGAAAGTTGACTGGATGAATGCATAAGGAATATAGGACAAATCTAACGGGTAATTGAGATAATGGGTTTCTTAGTTTTTTTTTTTTTTCTGAAAGCTAAGCAGGATTCAAGTGTGGGTATTTCTATAAAGTTTGCAAAGGATGGGTAGACATGTTGGTTTTTTTTTTCTGCCTTTATCGAACACCCTCAGCTTCTGCCCCTTCCTCCTCACATCCCCCAAGGTTTCCAGCATTTGATTGCAAGGAGGGTAACTAAGAAAAGACAGCTTGCTCATGATCACAGCTGGTACAAGGCACAATGTTCCAGCCATGCCCGAAGCCAGGCAAGACTTGAAGGATTCAGAAGTGCTTGGGAAGCTGTTGCTTCTTCAGTCGAACTCCAGATGAGGTGGCAGAAAGATGTCAGAAAAAGAAAAACCCTCAGTGCCCGTACGCCTGCCCTCTCTGCCTTTTTATCTATGCCAACAAATACTCTTGCTTTCCTGCCCATTTCTCTCCTAGACGTCCAGAAACTCTCTGTCACGGCAGTCCGACTGGCATAAGAACCATGTCTATAGAACCCTTCCTAGTCCGAGTCTTGTCCCATAAAATATTTGGTGCAGAAGTTTCTCTGTCCTTACATGGACCAGATCCCTTCTTTGTTGAAATGTCCCTGAACTGCTAACCTGCACCCTATGGCCATATACAGTTTCATACCAATGAAAAAGTCTTTCTATTTCCAGCAGTCTCCCCTTAAAAGCTTGCTGCTGCGCAGTGCCTCTTTGGATAAACTTCCTAACAGCTTTGGACACCCCACTGAATCCAAGGCAAAGGCGGAGGGCCCTTTGGTGTATGTTCATGAGCAAATGCCTATTATTAAGGTTGTCACGAATGGCCTTGCCTTTGACAGTCTCAAATCTGTGTCTGTCATTCCTGCATTGCCAGATTGTATTGCTGTGCGCCAATGTCTCATAAAAACAACGGAAGCCACGAGCCCATGGCTTCAAAGTGCTCAGTGCATCGTGCTTGGTTCCACGGCACAGTAGAATATTGTGGAGGCAGGAATATGTACAGGAAGAGGCTATTCTCAGAATGGACAAGAAACAGGAAGTAAGGAAGGGCCTGGGTTTCAGATGTAACTCTCAAAGACGTACTTACTGCTTCCTCCAAGGAAGCCTGCTCTGAATAGCACCGTTAACCGTGAGCCAACCTGCAACATGGGAGTCGTGGTGTCCTTTCCATACCTAAAATGGTGATGCTTTTCCAGTTTAGTCTTGTGCAGATTTCCCGCTGGAATGTTCCTCCTGTGCATGCTTCCGATGTGTATGAGGAGACTCTCGTCTTTTCTTTTGCACATGACTTGTGGATATCAGTGTCGCTATCGCTTGGGGTCATGACGTGGCAGTAGCGTTGAGAATAGGAGCCTGCATTCCCTGACTTGGCCAGGTTCTAACCGAGGAACCAGGGGATGGGAGGTTTGCTTCTCTCTGTCCTTTGCTGTTATTTTCATGGTAGATCCTTCTTAGAGAGAAAAGGACTCCCCTTTCCCTCTCTGCTTCCCCCCAGACCAGGTTTTCTGATCTTCCTAGACCCGTGAGCTGCTGTGTGTTGCGATTAAATCTCTTCTGCCTGCATTAGCTTGAGTTGGGTTGTTTTACTTGCCAAAAAAAAAAAAATCTCGGCACAGATACAGAGCCTCTTAGTGGAATGAAATGAAAAGAACTTAATGTCCACCTTTCTCAGCTCACCGCATAAATGCTGTTTCCTGAAAGTGCTAACCTCATTCCTTAGGGGACAGATGAGCATTTATTTATGTGATGGAACCCCAGGAGGGAGAGACAGGGCAGACTATAGTCAATGTAAGATGAGGCACAGGAGGGACGTCCAAGGGTTCCAGAGACTTCCCTTAAGGTCTGTCTAGCTTCCAAGAAAGACTGTGGGAGGGAACAGAAAGGGGTGACACACCCTCAGGATTGCATTAGGTGACGGTCCCCTATGTGATTTGCCGATTGGAAATAAATATGTCTGAATGGTGTGTTGATCTCTTTCCAGGCTGGCCTACATCTTAGGGAAAGAGTTCACCATGAGGACGACTCTGGATCATTGTCTTCTCTATCACAGACATTTTTTAGAGGTTTATTTGGAATTCTGAAAATTCTCAGGTATGAAGCATGGCTGGGAGTCACCATGGCAGTGAGACTTCTCTTTGGATCTGGGAATCTAAACCGTGGTTAATTACTGCCATTCCTTCAGGCTGAGAACCAGACACGGGACTGCAGCAGAATTTACCTTCATAATAGCATCTGTCACCCTGGTGACATTGCTGTAAAATCAGGCAATGATTTTGAACTGAATCTTGTGTGTGGCTGCTTTGCTCTATGTGAGATTTGGAATGCAGAGAGAAAGGGGAGAAAAAATGAATGACCCCATTGGAGTACTCCACACTTGTAATCAGTTTCATTGCTTTTTGTTCTTTTTTAATGTGTTTATGATGGCAGTTGGTTGATAGCCATTCTCAGGGTCTTTTCTGTAGAGGATCTTGAGTTGAGTTATCAGCTAATATTAGAAAAATCAGGGGAAAAAAACTAAGAAGAGGAAGAAGACAAGGATGACAGATAGACAGATACCAGATGTCACTGCTTACATAAACAGGATTTTTAAAAAAATATTTATTGTGTATACAGTATACTGTCTGCATGTATACTTGAAGGACAGAAGAGGACACCAGATCTCATTACAGATGGTTGTGAGCCACCATGTGGCTGCTGGGAATTGAACTCAGGACCTCTGGAAGAGCAGTCAGTGCTCTTAATCTCTGAGCCATCCCTTAGCCCCAAACAGAAATGTTTAATTGAACTGTGTCACTCTGAAAACTGTCAAGTATAACTTATGGCTTTTTAGACAAAATAGAAAATATAAATTATTATGAATATCCTATGAATGTCTTTTGGGTCCTTTCATTTGAAAACACACATTTTTGGTTTCTTCTGATTTATCTCAGATTTTTTTCATGTGTTATAATCTGTCAGATCTTTCTTCATTTAGATTTATTTTATTTTATATTATATTTTATATTTATTCACCGTTTTTTTGCATCTGGGCGGCACGCAGAGTCCAGAAAAGGGCATGAAATCCCCGGGACGAGAGTTTCTGGTAGTTGTGAGCCACTATGCGGGTGCTAGGAACTGAACGTGGGTCCTCTGGGAGAGCCACAGTGCTCTGATCTGCTGAGCCTCTCTCCAGCACCTTCCCTTGAACTTTTCTAATTTGAAACTCCAGTTCATCACCTTCCTTCCTCCCCTCTTCCTACCATGCTAGTGCAGCTCCCCAGGCCTCTAAAGAGCCAGCACCTGCTTCCTAGCTCAGGCTTAGAAGGGCTTGTGAAGACGTCCCTTCCAGCCAGTGCCATTTCTGGAACTCAGTTTTGTACATTTGAATCATTACCCCGCCCACATCTCTCCATCCTCACGAGTTACAGCACAGTGCTCGTTTCCTCTTGTTGCGATGATTGCAGCATCTCACCCGAGTTTTCCTCTCCTGGCAGCTTCTCTCTGGGCTCTGTCTTTCACAGTAAAACCGAGTGAGTCATTGCAAAGCAACGATGTGACCATACAGTTTCCTGCCCTTAGCTATTCCCTGTTTCCTATCTATATCAAAACAAACATAAGCTTCATAGTCCAGTGCCCAGGTTTACACATCCTGCCCTTATCTCTGTTCTCAGTCCCGTCACTGACGTTTCCCGGAGACCTACCCTCGCTTCACCAAACTGGACCTCTTGTTACTGCACGGCTTCCTCGTTCCCCGCCGCGGGCAGGAGCAAGCGTTCATGAAGTGTATGCACAGAAGAAGGGAGTTGAATGATCACATATACGTTAGAACTGTGCTCCACAAACTCTAACAGCCAGCCCGGAAAAACAACCTATTGTCTACTGTAAACAGACCCGATGCCGGTTTCCTACCTCTTGAGTCAGACTGGTTGGAAGTCGCTTCGCCATCTCTGCCAACAACCTGGGAAGTCAAGCAGCAACTCCTGCAATAAATATCGCCCCCTGCTCCCCACAGCTAACCTATGGGATGCCCCATTTCTAGTTGGTTCACCCACAGCCGCTCCATGCCCGCAGCCTCACCAGGGCACACCTGCGTCTTTCTCTTTTCTACTCGAAATAGTTTCCCTTTGTTATGCCTGCCTACCTGCGAGTCTCTGCCAAAGTACAGACAATAGCAGCCAGTTCCCTGCTACTGCAATCTCTGAGCAAACAAGCTCTACTTGTTCACGTTTGGTTGGCCTGTTTATTTCTATGGTGGCTTTTAAAATTTAAATCAATGAGAACATTCTTCATGTGTGTTAGCCACATTCCAAATGCTCATGGTAGCCCCATGTAGTGAATGGCAGCCATGATGGATAGTATAAATGTAGGATGTTTCTATCACTCCCAATTTTCCATGAATAATTCTGCACATACCCAGGACTTTCCCACCTTGTGGTGGTTTGAGTGAGAAATGTTCCCCAGAAGCTCAGGTAGACAGTACTTTGTCCTTTGTAGGTTGTGCCCTTTGGGACAGTAAGAGAATCATTAGATACACTTCCTAATCTCTCTCTCTCTCTCTCTCTCTCTCTCTCTCTCTCTCTGTCTGTCTGTCTGTCTGTCTGTCTGTCTGTCTGTCTGTCTCTCTCTCTCTCTCTCTCTCTCTCTCTTTCTCATGAGTATGATCAGATAAGCTTCCATCCTGTAGCCATGCTTTTCCTGACTCCTGCCCTGCCTTGTCTGCCACGATGGACTCTATCCCCAATAAAACCAAAACCTCTTGTTCTATGAGTTGCTCATGGTCATTATATTCTATTACACAACAGAAAGTAACCAGTCCACACCCTATACTTCTCCTTCCACTCAACTGACCATCTTCTCACATCTTTACCTGCCAATTTCCCACCCAGACTGCTGACAGAACTCAACTTACTACCTCCTTCAAGAATCATCATGGATTCCTATCTTCTTTTAAAGAAATAAATCCTCACTAATTCAATTATGTGTCTTTTATGAGCTCTCTCCCATCCTACTGCACCAAGGACCACTTGACACCAGGTATAAACATACTTGTTTTACTTGGGTTAAGTGAACAGCAATAGTCACTCAGTAACTTAACACACACACATGTCATTTAAAGAAGTTATGGGATGACAGACAGGCTTCTTCTGCTTTGCACTTGGGGTATGGATTGTACACTGTCACACACAGCTTTGTTCTCCCACTTCTGTTTCTGTCTGTTACCCTCTGGGTACCTAGGAGGATGTTTGCAGAAGTGGACAGGATCATTTTAAAGCCCATATTGCTTTTTTCTTGAGAGTCATGGACTTTTAGCAATCTCCACTTGCAGTGGTGATTGGGAGACAGCCGCAAGCCTCTCAAGATAGGTTTAGAATGGCTGGCCTCTTATTTATGTCTTTAATACCTGGGAGATATGAATACCTCTGTGTTTGCTCATATCCCCCATTTGCCTGAAATATGAACCTGTGTGTTTCCTCCTAATACCTTTCCTGGACCTGATGAATCTTCCTCAGAAATCCAGTGAAACATCAGATCTATCATGCATTCCTCTATCTCACTTGACAGAATAACTCTTTCTTCTGGCTATTTATCAACTGCTGAGAGGAGTTTAAAATGAGTACTGCCGGGAGAACATGTGTTGCCAGCAGAAGGAAAGTAACCCAATATTTATTTTTGGAGGTCATGGTTGGGGGTGATCTGGAAAAAAAAGCCACAAAGTTAACAAAGAAATACCTGCTGTTTCTTCACCCATCCTCACCTAAATCCAAAGGTCAAGGACTTATCATGGAGCTAGAAAACTGAGCCCTGCCTTGCACAGCAGCACACATTTGTCTAGCAGAAAGTAATTACCATTCAGTGAGTGCCCGAGGCCGGGAACTTTGCAAGGGACAAACACTGGGTGTCATGAAACAGCGAGACTGATGACAGCTGGGCAGTGACACTAGGTCAGCATCTGGAACTGAGACTTAACGAGAGGCCACAGGGAGAAGGCAACATTGGGGAAATGTACCATTCGCACAGGGATCCTTTGGAATAACTGGGCAGAAGGGCCTCTTCTCCATGAGAAACCTGTAAAGGGAAGACACGGTACCATGTTGGAGCCTAGCTATCATTGTCACCCCTGCCACTCTACTGGTTTGGGGACGATTTTTTGAACTCATCAGCACAGACTATGGATTTCTTCATTGTTACTGATGATGTTTGGGAGGGTCAGCATCGCAGTGGGCAGGAATGCCCTCACCATAGACTGCTGTATGTCACGACCCAGAAATCCAGACAGACACCTTGAAAGAACACATGGACATGTTACTGACATTGGAGGGTGTGGAGGATAGGTGAGGTTATTTCTCTTACAACATTCTGTTCCCGGCTTGTGGTCTGAGATGCAAGCTCTCAGCTGCTTCCCTAGCCACCCGCTGCATGCTACCTCTCCTGCCCTCGTCGGCTCTAACCTGTTGCCCCATGTTGGGCACCAATGTGTAACACAAATAATAAAAACCCAGAGACAGATATTGGGGTTCAAACTGAAGATCAGAGAAGCAAAGCAGCCAAGTCACCAGGAACTCTTACCTCTACCAAGACTGGGGCAATCCTGTCCTCACCATGGCTGGAAACTAATCACCACCACTGAGACTCTGCTCCTGTCTTATGTACCTCTCTAGTGCTGGGATTAAAGGTGTGAGCTCTGTTTCTCTTTTAGGCTGATTCACTCTCATGTGTCCCCGAGTGGCCTTGAACTCACAGAGGCCCTTCTGCCCCTTTCTCCTAAGTCCTGGGATTAAAGGTGTGTGCCACCACTGCATGGCCTCTATGGCTGTGGCTAGCTTTGCATTCTGATTTCCAGGCAAGATCTATTAGATCATAAACAGTATATCATCATACTTACCCTCTGCAACTGTAAACCCTAAATAAACTCTTTCTTTCAAAAGTTGCTCAGACTAGAAGAAAGTTGGAGGAAGAGACACTTGTCACTTGACAAGCTATGGCCAAAATTCCCTTAGGAAGGTGAACCATGAAATTATAAGATCTCAGGACTGTGGGTATCCAAGAGTACACTCATACCCACTCTTTTATTCTACAGATAGAGATATTGAGATTCAAATAGTTCCCACACAGCTTTTAAAATATGACAATGTTCTTTTAGAGTCTTGCTGACAGCCAGATTGGTTTAGAGGCTTGGGTCTTGCAGCTCAAGTTCCCATTCATGACTCCGAGTTCACCCTCCATTTCCACTTGGAGAGAGGTCAGGGCCTGGCGCTCATTGTTTCCAGACTTTCATCCTCTTCTCACAGCCCCCTGACTGGGAGGTTGGCTCACTCCCACCCTTTGCCACCTCTTCCCCTGCCGACAGAGAAGGAAGTACACAGTTAGCCCCAGAAATCCCTCTAATTTCTCTATCTGCCTGCTGTGTCCCCTCACTCTGAGATGCTCCCCACATGTAAGGGATCTGGAGGAAGAGACTCTGATTTTACTATGAAAAATGCATAGGGTTTTTAATTTTCATACCTGGACATTTTCTTCCATAATAGGAATAATTAAATGAAAGAGGTTCTCTGCTCCCATCATGACTGTACTTCAAACATTCATTTTGCCTGATGAATATAGAATTTCCATGCTTGCTCATTCAAGGAAAAAGGGTATGAAGCTGACTTGCCTTAGACTTTGGGGAGGTTGATCACATGTAGATGCAATTCTGTTTGCTTGTGTGTTTTATCTGGGATCCCAATGTACAGCTATGTCTCTTCTTTAGCACTGGAGGTCTCGAGGCCAGACTGACCAGCCGTGTCAGGCCGCTGTGCTCAGAACTCCTTCTTGGGAAGTTTTCTGTTGGATCCTCATCCCCTCATTATCTTATGTCCTGACTCAAAACAGTCAACTATGTGAATTAATTTGCTCTATTTCCTGATTAAAATTGTGGAAAACCCAACGGATAGTGGCTTAAACAAATTAAAATTTACTTGTATCCATCCCATAAGTAGAATATTGGAGGTGACTGGTAGCTGGGTAGATTCAATGACTTAGTGATACTGGAGGCCCTCGAATCAAACTTGTCCTTTACCAACTTAGCACTGAGTGATCAGTGAACTAACTGACAACAGAGAAAATGAAACAGGATGCGTAGCATTTAGGGATGCCACAACATGCCTCTCCAAGCCAGGCCTCTTAGGCATACGCATTACTGTGAGGAACTGGCCACGAGAGCCAGCAGATTCAGGCCCAACACACTACACATAACTGCAGAAAAGATATCACGACTAGACACAGGGAAGCACAGCCACCTGTAAAAGGGTGGCCTCTTTGTCCTGTTTGTGGGAGAAGATCTTGGGAGAAGGGAGAGGCCTGCTAAGCATTCACACCGGATAGAGGGAGTGAGGGGTAGGTTTATTTCTGTTTCGGTGACTCTTGATGATGTAGGGACAATCTCTCCCTGAGACTAGTCACCAAAATCCCTTGGAGAGCTTTCAGTGCTACAGGGTGACCCCTTGAATCAGATCCTGTGAGCTGAGGTTTCAGTGTGTTGGCAGATGCAAAGGAGGCTTCTGGGATCTGTGTTTATTTTTTATTTTATTTTATTTTATTTTGGTTTTTCGAGACAGGGTTTCTCTGTATTGTTTTGGAGTCTGTCCTGGAACTTCCTCTGTAGACCAGGCTGGTCTCAAACTCACAGAGATCCGCCTGCCTCTGACTTCTGAGTGCTGGGATTAAAGGCATGTGCCAACAACACCCGGCTGGGATCTGTGTTTATAAAGGTGACATCCACGTGTGGGCAGGCCTGCACAAGGGAAGAAATGACACATCTTTGTCTGCATGCATCTTTCCAGACTATCACCAGCTTCCTGAGAAACTGGACGTAAGGAATCCGTCCACTCAGATTGCAGACTGCATCAGAATTCCTCATCTGTAGATGGCTTTCTTGAAGCTTGTGTGTCCCTAAGTGTCTGGGGGCTCTTGGCTGGTTAGTTCATGTGGTTGAAAGTAAGGTTTTAAAACCACTCCTGTTACCAATGGAGCCATTATATCACTGAGATGACAATTTAGGATGCAAAGGGCACTTTACGTTCAGTTAGAGGTGACATTTAAATATGATTAATAGTGGCTCTTTGTGAAAACATGCATTTGAGGAGCAAAGAGAAGTGATAGGAGGCATTGGCAGCATAAACACAGAGAATCTTAAACAGACAATGTCTGTTTTGCTGACAAAGATGCAGACCTGCAGCTAACTCTCCCTGAGAGAAGGAATTTGACTCTAACATTGATGAAGGCATGCACCTGTTTCTAGGCTCTAGCTATGTCATTGTGGCTGCCTTGGCCTTTGAGTTTTAACTTAACTTGTTCATTTACAAAATGACAGTCATACTGGTTGCACACATTGAGATGAAATTTGTACCAGTGTGCTGGAAAACTCAGAAAAGGAATTCTTCATGGTGAACAAGAGCAGGTCAAATGAGTCAGGGCATTTAGTACCAGTGACAGCTCTTGTCACCTTCTGTCTTTCAGATCAAAGATGCGGGTCTTCACAAACTCTTAGGACCTGTCGTGTAGAGATTTCCTCCAAGTAGAAACTTTCCATCTATGATGGAAGCTTCTTAAGACATAGGGTCTTCAAAGGGAGGCGATACACCTCATCCTGCAGTAAAGCTTGTTAACCTCAGGAAGTAAACAACTCAAGAGCTTCAGGAAGTCATTGAAATTGACCAGATTCACTAGGACCCTCCTTCCCCCAGCTTCTGGAAGCCACAAGGACTGTGAAGAGACACTTTGAGTTGAGCTGAGCTTCCTAGAAGACTCTTAGGCCCGCTTGGTCTAAGATGAGACTCTGGTCATCTGAGATGCCTGAAGAGACACGGCTTTCATGAGCTATCACAAATGCCCGGGTGTGCTTTGGTAACACAGCATTCTTAGTGTCGTTTCTACTCCTGCAAGCAACCCCTCACCCGCATTTGTATACCTAATGCCAAAGAAACTAATTGGTTCACA